TTCAATATGTGAATTGGAATTGAACTCTAAAGATGATGTTGTAACCACTATTTGTAAACATACATTTCATCGTCATTGTGCTCAAGAACGTCTTGATGAAAGAAATAGAGCGGATTGCCGTTCGTGTGGTAAAGAGTCGGCTCTTCGTGATGCATTGTCTAAAAACACAACGACCACTAATATTAAAAACTCCTTCGAACGCAAACCAAGTAGAATAGAGGTCGATCAAATTGTAAGATTCCACTGTTTTTCTATAAAGTTGATAGTAAATTTACCAAAAGGAAAATATCGCTTGATAAGTTCGAGTCATTTATTTAATTGAAAAATATCCTATCATTACTGTGTAAATGAAAACATAGGTTATTGAATTTTTGAAGAAAAATTATCGATAACTATTTTTGTTTTATGAAAACTAATAGTCGGATGCATCTTATATAAAGAAAAACGAAGCATTAAAAATCTTAAAAATAATCTAGCAGATAAAATAAGCCTTATCGAGTAACTAGAAGTATCTATTAAACTTCTGAGAAGTAGAAATCGAGCGAATAATTGAAAATGTTTTTTTTAAATTATAAAAAATTCATATTGAAATTTTGTTTTAACTTTCAGCTAATTAATATTCCCATTATTCTGAGTTTGAACCCATGGCACACCATAAACGATCTGCTTAGGCCAAAATAGATGACAAAACACATTTCAAACTGTTTTTAATTGATTAGAGTTGAAGCACATCGATATCCTACGTATCTTTAGTATACCACCTATAGTATGAAGAATATTGTGAATCCAGTTTTCTTCTTGGCTTTACGTGTTCGAAAAATTTGTTTTCTTAAAATTCGCACTGAAATCATCATCATTTGAACCTCTAATGTATCTATATTATTCATTTGCCTTTTAGCAGCATCGATCATTCCGTGACAACACGACATTTACAAAAAATAAAAATAAAAGTTCTTGTACAAGTTCTTGTAATGAGACATTCGAAAGAAAAAAGGGCTATGGGACAAAAAATGATTGACAGTGAAGGGTAGATCTGGAAAGTTTTGCTTGTTACATAACATCTAACTGTTCGATTTTGAATACATGATTCCTACTGATATGATTTATAGAAATGAATATAAAAATAATACTATGTAAATTTTATATCTATCTTTAGGCACGAAGTGGTACACCTGCTGCTTCACCGGCAAGAAATGAACATAGAACGGAAAAAAAAGAAGATACATGGAAATGCGATGAATGTTCGGCAACTAACTTAACATCAACAAAACGATGTTCACGTTGTGGGGAACCGCGATTTGCTGCCTTCTCTGCTTCAACTGCCCAAACACAACGCCCAGAAGTTTTAGCTACAGCAGATTATAATCAAAATGTGTCTTCAATGAGACCTTCAAGAGTTGATGGATATCAATCGTTATATCCAAGAATTCACGGTAAATTTTGAAATTATTTGATTCGCAAAGAAAAACATTTTTCATCGGATAGAGGCGTTTTTAGACAAACTTAAAAGAAATAGAATATAGATATCTGAAAAATCATTAAGAAGAAATACATTGAGTTTGAATGTTGTTTTTTCCGACTTGTAATATTATTTTCTGCTGATCATCAGTTGAGCAAGTTGTTTAAAGTATCTAAAAGACATTATTATTAAGAGAAAACGATACTGCATCTATAAATAATCCAAAAATTATTCAATTTTGCAACCAATTAACAATAGCCAAAGAATGGCTACTACACTTATATTTATCCTAACAGAACTAATCTCTGACGAGTAAATCAACACGATAAGATCTTTTTAACCCTTAAAATAATATATATTTTAGAAAAATATAATGAGAAAACAAAAAACATCAGATTATGCCAAAGAAAATGCAGTTTTGGCACAGCGAAGCTATGAATTTTATTTAATCAATAAGTATCTAATTATTGGTTGACAGAGCTCTAAGCGTTTTTCAGTAAAATTAACCATCGGATAAAATTAATTTTACTTCTTTAGTGAAGTTAGCGGGCGAATAGGGTAGCATAATTGACTAATTGCATGTATAAATCATAGTATAAACAAGTCATCATAACTTCTTCATGCATCGCTCGTGTGAAATTATCAAAAATGAAGAGAAGAAATTTTATCGATGATAGATTTGTCGTTGATTAAATGCGACGTTTTTAGTAACTATTTTGTCAGTTGTTGCGTGAATTTAAAAAACGAAAGTTGAAAAGTTTCTAATCATAGTTTGAGATTTTTCATTGAAAATATAATTAATGCAATATTTTTCATACTGGTTCTCATAGAATCCACGAAGGCCGAACCTTTAACACTCATAAACTCTTCTTCCACTGCTGACAAACCCTATTCCTTGAGACCGAATACAAAACAAACGATGCCACAAACACACATTGAAAATATTGAAGAACACGATGAAGATCACATCTCAGAACAAGAAGCTATTGTGTATATTTCTGATCTGCCTCCAAGTATTCAAGATGATTCTCAACTACACCGGTTGATCGAAAGTCGCTTGGAGAAGGTATTTCAAATCGAACCAATTTCAATTCAATGTTATTCAAAATTAGGTGCTGGTTTGATGCGCGTTCGTAATACTCAAATAAAAAATCGTTTAGTAGAAGATATTAAAATAATGCCACTAGATCTGTTAGAAGGAACGCATGTTATTTCATTCCGTGAAACACTTGAAGTTGTTTCATATATTGTTATTGATACAACAAATGAGGAGAACGATATGGATCTACCAACAGCTCAGGAAATTCGTAAACGATGGATTGAACTCTATCGAGGTGACGAACCTTCGTCTTGCGATCAAATCAGTGTTCAATTTCCTAATATTTATCGGATTGTTTCCACTTCATTCGATGATTTACTCGCTGCCATGTCAACTCCAGATTTTTTAATCAGCAAACTATTCGCACATGTTTATATTGGAGCAGATTGCAGTTATTTTGAGGATTTACCAAAATCAACAACTAAAGAAGAATTAGAAACAGCAATTTCTAATTCAATTAGAATGAAAACAGTTTCATCATTATCACTTCATATCGAATTAAACAAACAAACGAACAATGCATGCATCATTGCTACTGATGAAGCTCGGCTATGGACAACAAAAAGTTTTGTCTATATTAACGATAAACCAATATCGAAAAAAGCAAGTTTAACTTGTCGTTTACTTGTTCATCCAGTATTGGGAATTCATAACGATGATGAAATTATCAACCATACAATATTTGATGGAAAAGCGTCAATTATTGAGCGAAGTAATGAAAATCTTGTTCTTGAAATATCCGACAAGAAAATTTATGACAATTGCTTATCAGTGGGGGTGCTTACTCCTAAAAGTAAACCAAGATTAAAAATGGAAATCTACATGGCTTTTACTAATCCAGAAAATCGCGAAATCGATACTGAGACATGGTATCACGTTGAAATGGTTCGTTATAAACCGGATATCATGCAATTTACTGCTGATATTGATCATCCAATATTTCATTACAGATGGAATGCAGCCATATGGCTTCAAGAATTTCAAAATGCACAATCTAAAAATCGTAGTACTAAAGCTAATGCAAAAGCCCAATCAAGTCTATCAAATGATCAAATTCGTCATTTACTTCAAATGACTGTGATGTTGAATACTATTGGCGTTATACGGAAGAAGACTTACTTAATTAATAATCAACAAATCAAATTGAATTTAGATTCCAAACTAAAAACTATCGTTTACAATCATGATTCATTATTGGAACTTAGTCAATCAATCCAATTATCAAATACTCCTTACACAGA